AATATTTTAAATAATTTATAAGCTGACAAATTAGGCCCACTTTAAAATTTGTTTAAAAATTAAAAAGGATTTTTTACCCCACCATTACTCATTTTCTCAATTCCTGTGATGTATGCAAAAATATATTACAAAGTTTCATCATCTTCTTTCAATCAGAGCCTTCTTATTTATTGTAGGATGCAGAAAAGATTGGGAAAACTTGAAATACTTGTTCCAACGTCCCTCAGCAAAAAAAAAAAAAAAAAAAAAAAAAATTGTAACAAATAAGGTTTAATCTTACAGCGACTTTATTTTCTTCTTCTTTCTTCTTCTTTTTATTTTATTTATTTATTTATTTATTTTGAGACGAAACCTTGCTCTTGTTCCCCAGGCTGGAGTGCAATGGCACAATCTCAGCTCACTGCAACCTCCACCTCCGGGTTCAAGCGATTCTCTCACCTCAGCCTCCGTAGTAGCTGGGATTACAGGCACCTGCACCACGCCCAGCTAATTTTTGTATTTTTAGTAGAAACGGGGTTTTACCATGTTGGCCAGGCTGGTCTTGAACTCCTGACCTTGCGTGAACCACCTACCTCAGTCTCCCAAAGTGCTGGGATTACAGGCGTGAGCCACTGCGCCCGGCCAAGCTGTTTTAAATGTATTTCCAGAAGAATAAAACAAAACAAAAAAACTCAGAGCTGAAGATTTTAGCTCATTTAATTTAAAGAGAATGTCTACCATACTGTTTAAAAGGCACTGTCAGTTGCTAACGCCAAACCAATCAGCCAACTAAGAATTACTTTTTCAGAGAAATACAACTTAATATTCCAGTTGGAATGTCAATTCATGTCCCCATTTTATTTCTGAATTCTAATTCTAAAACAGCAATAAGCTGCAGAGCCTTGCAGGAGCTTGCTTGGATGAAAAAAGGTACTGTCACCTTCAGTATTTCTTCTTTGTTCTTGGTTTTGCTCTCAACTCAAGAATGGTATTCTTTAAAAGGCATGCAGAATGAGGCGGTAAGGTCAACTCATGAAAATTTTTATCATTTTGAGAATTCAGAATACTGCAACACAGGACAGTTTTTAAAAAGAGGCATTACCCTTAACAGATATATGTATAAATGTAAGAGACTCTGAAAGTCTGAGATTTCCCACTGTGGTCCCTCCATGTCCCTGTCCCTACAGCTAATCTTCCTCACATCTTCTTGCACATGACCTTGGCCCCAAACTGTTCCTCCTCACCCTCCTGATAAAATCCAAAATGACCTAACAATGGCTGCTAATATCCCAGAATAACTCCTACCTCTTCTGAGAGCCACTGACCAACTGCTCCTGAAAAGAGACAAACTCCAGGTGACTCCCTGCATCTCCCATATACAACTCCAGGTGACTCCCTGTATGCCCCACATACAACTCCAGGTGACTCCCAGCATCCCCCTTATACAAAGTTCCACCCCCTTTCCCCCAAATTAGAATGCTCTTTTGGAACCTTTCATGCTTAGCATTGTTTTTTTTTTTTTTTTTGAGACAGAGTTTCGCTCTTGTTGCCCAGGCTGGAGTGCAGTGGCGTGATTTCGGCTCACTGCGACCTCCGCCTCCTGGGTTCAAGTGATTCTCCTGCCTCAGCCTCCCAAGTAGGTAGGATTACAGGCACGTGCCACCACACCCAGCTAATTTTGTATTTTTAGTAGAGGCGGGGTTTCTCCATGTTGGTCAGGCTGGTGTTGAACTCTCGAATGAAGCATTTATTCTTTGCTCTGGCTGGTTTTCTTCAATGTAAGACCAGGAAAGATAGGAAGGTCTATCCAATGCCTTAATTAATGGAGGCTTCACTGACATTGGTAATTTGAATTGTCTCTTTTGTCTGGACACCTTGGAGGATTTTCCACCTTCTCTTTCAAGGCAATACAACATAAAAAACACTCAAGATGCCTGAGAGTATGCCGTTCTCCATTAAAGTGGGAGAAACACAATTGTGAACAGGATGTAGGAAAAGATAGGCAGCATATTATATACTACTTTGCTACCCTGATCACAGGAGCTTTGTCAAGATCAGTTTTTGGAAGGAAAACACGGAAGTCAAGAATTGGAAAATTGATTCCTTTGGAATTATTTGCCTACTCCAGTTTGAAGAGTGCTGGTCTAGCCCGACTAGCCCACAATTGTAAGGAAAGAAGTCACCATGAGCAGTGTTCTGTTGAAAAGCAGAATCAGACTCACAAATACAGCAGCTACAGATGTTATCAAACAGCAAATATAAATCGATATATTTAAAGTGTTCAAAGAAATAGAGTGTTTAAAACATCAGTAACAAGAAACTATCAGAAATGGCCAGGTCAATATGAAAACAAAAAGAGAGCACTCAAAAAATTAAAAGGGTTAAACAATAATATACAGGGAGGTGAAGACAGACCTCAAGAAATTACACAGAATGCAGCACAGAAAAACAAAGAGATAAAAAAAAATGACAGACTCAAAAGACAAGGAAGTTAAATGGGAGAAGTGCAAAACATGTCTAATCAAACTTTCACAAGAATAGAAATAGAAGTAACATTTGAACAAATAATAGTAGAGAAAATTTTCCAAAATTGATTAAAAACACCCATCTACAGATTTAGAATGCCAAAGTCCCAAACAAATACACAAAAAGAAATGAAAGCTTACAAAATCAGAAGGTTAAGTCCTAAGAAATTCATACATTGATAACATTTTTAAATTAAGAACTTTGGAACATCAAAGGTCTTCACAGAGTGAAAAATGAAACTGAAATGGGAGAAGATATTTACAACACATATAACAAAGGATTAACATCTAACATTATTAAGACAAGACTGTGACAGATAAATGGGCAAAAGCAATAAACAAGCATTTCAAAAGCGAATCACAAATGGTTAATTAACATATGAAAAGATGCTAAACCTCATTAAGACTCAGAGAATTGCAAATTTCGCTCCAATGAGACACTACCATTTCACACTCACCAGACTGTCAAAAATTAAAAAGTTCAATAAATCAAATGTGGTGGGCATACTAGTGTTCATTTTATTATTCCTTAAACTGCACATTATATACGCTTTCATATGCACATGTTTCATAACTAAAATTGTTAAGTGTCATCTGAGCAATAAAAATATTTCTTCGTAAGCCTGATGAGAGCAGTTTCAGTGAAATACTGGGCATGAACACCAGACTGCACAGGCTGAAAGGCTCTACAAGATAAAGGCGTAAAGCTAACTTACAGACAACTATTTCAAGCTTACCTATGAGGCTGGAAAGGCAGAGCTGCAACTTTAGGGAATGTCATGGTGAGAGTTTCTGTTTTATTTTTAAATAAAGGAAACTGGATTAGGTTTAGAAACATCTAGAGGGAAAGGACGACAAAGAATAAAGTGTCCCTGGTTTGTCACAAAGATACATAATACAGGGATCAGGAACAGGAATTTCCTTTAGGGATGAGAGATACTTTGTCCTCATCCCATCACTCCTAAGCCCCATCCACTCCAGTCACAATGGTCTACTTGCTCCTCCTTCCAGCAAGCCTCTACCTCGGGACTTCTATATCCTCTACGGAGAATACTCTTCCCCAGATGATGCAAGGCATGCCTTTCACTCTTTTCTTTCCCCAAATGTCAACTCAGTGAAGTGTTCCCTGACCACTATGAAACTGAAATCCCATCTGCACTCCCTGCCACCACTACTCCTGATACTCTTATTCCTTTTCCTTGCTCTATTTGTCTTCATAAGCTCTTAATACTCTACGTATGATAGACTTTATATTGTTGAAACTCTCTACCTCCATTGTATGTAAGCTCCAAAAATGCAGCAACTGCAGTCACAGCGCCTACTAATGCTTGACACAAAGGTAGCTCAATTAACACATACTGAATGAATATGGACCCTGCTTGAGGAAACTGAAGAACAAGTATAAAGGAAATGACGCTGTAAGATTTGAACAAAATGAAGTAACGCACAGAGAATAATCAATTTGTTGCCCACAGAAGAGATGACATTTGGGTTAAATCTTGAATCATGAGTTTGCGAAGTGCAAGAAAAAGGTGCACATTCCTAGAGTGGAACATGGGAGGTCTGAAAGAGCCTTGCACATTTGAGAAAGAGGGTACATTTGGAGTATGGCACAGGTAACAGTGACCAGATTTTAGCTAACCTTACAATATACACAACAAAGGACGCATTATATCCAACTTCTCAACTCTAAAAGTCATTTTCTGAATTATAGTTGTTCAGTTACTTGTTTTATTTTGCAGTAAAGAGTACAGAATACAAAATAAAGTTAACACAGAATTACTGAAACTATTCCCTTTACTCACTGCAAGTCTGAGCAGAGTTAACCTATGTATTTTTTTTTAACCAAACTGTAAATTAAATGTATAACACTCAAAGTGAAAATACTGCTTTCAAAGGTCTCAACAGCAAGTATTATTCAAAGAAGTCAAAACTAAAAATTCTGTACGGTAGGAGAGAGCAGTTGGGTGGGGAAAGGGGAATGGTCAAATTCAACTGCTTATTTAGTAGCAGATACTCCTCATTTAACCATCTGAGTTTTTGAATGGGCTTGCATGCTGTCATAAGTAACTTTCACTTATTACTATGTTTTCAACTAGTCTATTGTCCTTTTATTCACATCACTACTTCTTTCGGACACTCACCTTCGTTTTAAACCTAACTTGATTTATTTTCAGGATTCCTATTTGAGACAGGAGGCTCTTGTGTGTTACACACAGAGATAAAACCTTGGAAGATCGTATTCCACAGTTCAAGAGCCCGTGTAGTCAGTACTGGAGTATTTAAGCACAAGATAGGGGAAGCAGTGGACGCCCTGGTGCTTTGGGATTCCTACTGCCAGTGGGTGAGGACCCAGGGAGTTCCCTGGGTAGGTTCGAGGTCAAAGCTCAGGTTTAAAGCCAGGGGGGCGGGGCATGCCCCAAGAACCTCGGAGAGGTGTGTGGGCCCTAAAATGCAACTGGGAAAAGAGGGGCGCGATCACTCGAAAAGACTCACAGTAATAAGCCACCACAGGGTCCCGCTTGTCATGCTCCTGAGCCGTCCTCAGATGATGCTGTATGCTCTTAAACTGTGCGGGCAGCGGGGGCAGCGATGCAAGCGCAGCCATCTCTACTCAGAACTCACCACTTCCTACTCGCGCGCCACCGACACTTCCGCTTCCGCCTGGGCGGTAGCGCGCACGAGCGTTCAGAGCAAATCCTGCCCGCTCTTCCGTTGCTCAGCGTCGTCAAGACAACTACGGATCCCCAGCTGGGACAACCTCAGTGTGCTCAGCTCTCGGCGATTAGAGCCCACAAAACACTGAGCGTTTTGGCGCCTATGCCGCGCATGGCGGTAGCGCTCTCTGCTGGTAGGAGGAAGGGTTTTTGTTTTGTTTAGCTTTTTTGTTTGGTTTTTCGTTTGTGGCAAAAGGAAGTATAGAAAAGGAAAAACAAGAAAATAATGTATGTTGACTGGGAGAAAGTGTAAAGGCAAGAATCGCCTTTGGTGTCATTCAGGAATTACCACTTCCAATTAATATTCCATGTTAATATTCCATATAATAGTGTCCATTAGCAGCCTTTTTGATTTTAGAAGCTTTAATTTCAGTAATTGCATGAGAGAGAAATAATGTGTTTAAATTGTAAATTAAATTTTTCTGTGTTGACATACTGGATAAAATAATCAGATTTCGCCCCAACTTAAACACTAAACACATGAAGCGTAAAGAAGATTGAACTTTTGTTCTCAGCTGTCTAGTATGTATTTTAGTGAATGAATAACCTGTAGATCACCTTTTTTTTTTTTCCTGGAAAGTGATTAACAATTTGCAAAATATTTTCATATTTATTATCTTTTCTTAATGTAAGATAGGGTGTTTGGGACTTTTTCAACGCTGGTAACTCTTAACCATTGTACAGTAGGCATCAATTTTTCCTTCTACCCTCAATGACTTCAATTCTCTTCCACTCCTCTCCATCCCATACTTACATTCTTCAGGACTGTACACTTTATTTACTTCCTCAAATAACCTTCTTCTTTATTTTATCTCAGTCCTCAGTTTTGAGGATTCATCTTAAAACTAGTTTGCACTGAAATCACACTATCCCCAAGAGCCAGAATCTCCAGCTCGGAAATTCCCCTCTGCCTACTATTTTCTGATCATTCTCTCACGCCCAGAAGAAACCGCTCCATGTCCTTATACTATCCCACTCCACATACGTTGTCTAGACCTATTTGCAAAGTCCATCATCTTATTCTGGGTCGGGCTTTTTTACTCAGTTCTGTCTTCAGGACTAAAGTTTGCCAGTCTCTCATTTGCATACATTCATGTGTACTCTTATTTGCATACCCTCATGAGCAGGGCCGAGGGAAAAATGAGAAAGTGAAGTGGTTGGAATTGGATTTTACTCTCTGATCTGCCAATATATGCTCTTTTCTTTTCTTTTCCTTTCCTTGCTTTTCTCCTTCTTTCCTTTCTGTTTTCTTTCTTTCTTTTTTTTTTAGACAGGTTCTCACTCTGTCACCTAAGCTGGAGTGCAGCACACCATCAGAGCTCACTGCAGCCTTGAACTCCTGGGCTCAAGGATCCTCTTGCCTCAGCCTCCTGAGTAGCTGGCACCACAGGCACATACCACCATGGCTAATAATTATTATTTTGTTGCCTAGGCAGGTCTTGAACTCCTAGTCTCAAGTGATACTCCTGCCTTGGCCTCCCAAAGTGCTGAGATTACAGACAAGAGCCTCATACTCTCTTCTTTCTAAATATGCTACCCCTTTCATGAGATGATAATTGATTTGATGGAGAACAGTACAGAGACAGTGTTAGTGTAACACACATTGAAATTAGGCTATGAAACAAAGTAAATATTAATGACTATGAGGTTGCTTTTTCTTGTTTTACTATGATATTTTACTAGAAAGACCTAAATTCTTCTTCTCCATTCATTTCAGACCAGTTTCTGAAGGATCTGACATCACCCTCCAGGACTGGGCTAGAACCTTGGCGAGTAAGGGGAGGTCAGAGCTGTAGGACAAAATAGGGGGTGAGGGCAACCATAGGAAGAAGAAAAGGGAGAGGAACTAGAGCTGACAGGTGTTTTGATGGGAAAAAACTTTTTGTACCATTCCCTAGACTCCATGTTGTGATCATCTGGCAATAAAAATATTCTGTGTCAGTTTGGTCAGAACCATCTTGGTGGCAAATGACAGGGCATCAGTCAATGTAATCAGGATAATATATCTATAGCTATATCTTTTTAATATACTGTATGTGGTAGAAATTTGGCTTCCAGTATCATGAGACTTACATCCTATTATTTTAGAATCCTCACAAGTAGAAATAATTTTTCCTTAAAAGTTCCAGCAGAAGAATGATAGGGAAGACCCTGAAAACTTGGTCAGGACCATTTGCCACCCCATCCGACCATGGCTGGGACATGCAGATATTATAAACATTACATTTTATGTTTTACACGTGGATATTTAGTTGTTTGGCACCATTGAATTACATTAGCACATTTAAAAAAATAAGCTAACTATATGCGAGCAAACATATTTCCAGTTTCTTGATTGTTCCCATTCCATGTTTATAATGACCAAAGTTACAATAAGTAAACTTCCAAGCCCATGGATGTGAACATGGTTAATTTTTCCAGTTTAAATGGTACAGTGGGCTCACGCCTGGTAATTTCAAGCACTTTGGGAAAGCCAGTGGGGTGGATCCACCTGAGGTCCAGGAGTTTGTGACAGCCTGGCAACACATGTGAAACTCCGTCTCTACTAAAAACATAAAATTAGCAGGGTGTGGTGGACATACCTGTAATCCCAGCTACTTGGGAAGGCTGCGGCAGGAAGAATCGTTTGAACCTGGGAGCGGAGTGGCCAGTGAGCCAAGATTGTGCCCACTGCACTCCAGCCCTGGTGACAGAAACGAGACCTCCATCTCAAAAATAAAATAAAAT